AAAATCTTGGCAACGCTAAAAGAGAAAGAGTAACCCCAACGACTACGAGGAATATTTTGGATAACAAATTGTTATTACCTTTAGTCTCATATTTCAAATTCTCGTTTGTCAAAATTTTATGATTTTTTCCAGCACAACCCACGTCATGCAAAATATTTATTAATTCGCCCCCAATCTTCGTTTTCTGAAATCTTCACAGCTTCAATCCACTCACATCCGTCCCATTTGCCATTTCGAATATCCAATAGAGTACTTAGAGTCGTAATATATGTAGAAATGGAGGATCTAGTGCGACTTCCAAGCATTTTCCAGTCACCGAATCCCATGACTCTTGAGCGGTGCCGGATCACCATTTCGATACAAAATTGATTGTTTTCGTTAAACGGGTACCCGGCCGGCGATAAGCCATGCGATGTAAACAAAGAGGTTATGAATTATTAAGTTTTATAAATCGCCATTCTGGATCAAAAATGTATCGAGAAGGTGACCGAATCCCGGCGCACACCGGGCTCGGAACTCGTCGACCAGAACATGACCCTAGCTCACTTCATTCATTATATTACGACTTCACGTACTCTATGGAACATCCCTCTCCTAATTTCAATGTTAAACACAGCTTTTGACAAATTTTATCTTACAAAATTACTAATGGACCACTAGACAAGGTACGAATTTAAGCATTCTGATACATGTTTCTTGACCAAAATTTCACGTAAAACACGATTCGCGCAACGAAAATTACCAAAATCAACTCCTAACAAAGATATTAACGTTTTTATTTCACATTGGTTACGAAGAATTTGAACTGCCCGCTCATAAGAAACTCAAAGCTCTACGTAAGTCAAATCGTGCACTACAACGATTTCAGCAAGCTTCTCGATCTAGCAATGTTCATTTCCCACCATGTGTTGTTCAAACTATAAACAACTTGCTATCGCTGAGCCAAAGCATCAAGATTGAGGTTGCCAGATTTTTATATCTCAGAGACTGTCATGATAACGTTGTGAGCGCGATGTGAGTCACGTAGAGCATTGAGTTTTCATGAGTGGGTGGTTTGAATTCACGCATCAAGAATCATTAAATATCTTCGTAAGGAGTTGATTCCGGTAATTTTCGTTGTGCGCATCGTGTTCTACGTGAAATTTTAGTTATGAAACATGTATCAGAATGCTGAAATTCGTGCCATGTCTACTGGTCCATTATGGTATCATGGTGGGGGGGGGGGGGGGAGTATTTTCTGCATTTAAAATTTTACAAGACGACCTCACCGCTGTGTTATTTGTCCCGGTTATGTCTCGGTATATGCAAAGCAAGAAAATTAACGGGATGTTCCCTCTTCAGTGTGCAAATTACTGCGGAGATCGCCGCGCCCTACACGGCGTTTCTAATTGCACGGCGCACAGTGAATTGAATCAATCAAAGAGACCGAAAATAAAATTTTTGACTAAAACTGCAAATTTTGATGTTATTCCCGCCACATGATAAATTGTAAGGGGTGTTTCTAGAAGAAAATCTCGCGAAGAAACCCATGGGACCATTCTCAAAACCTCAAACACTGAAAAGAAATCTCGGTGTATTTACTAAGAATAGGGTAAAATTACCAAGAATTCAGGGTTCTATTTGATCCCACTTTTTTCTTGGTAAAATTACCATTTATGGAATTGGTAATTTTACCTAGAAATCTCGGTAAAATTATTGACTTTCTCGGTAATTTTACTGGACTCCGGTAAAAACGCCAATATATTTTATCGACTTTGGTAGAATTATCGAGATCAAATGGCAAAGTTACCGGGAATTGATTACCAATAAAAGTGGTATTCTTACCTGAAAAGCACAGAAAAAATAACAGTTTTTAGGTAAGCTTACCAGTCTGTCTTGGTAAATTTACCAATAATTGGTAAAAAAAAGTGAGATGGTAAAGGTACCAACAGATCTTAGTAAAAACGCCGAGATTTTTTTTTTCAGTGTAAGCTTTTAAAGTTTCCAACTTTTGTCCGACCTCTCCCACCGACTAGATCCACCGTGCGGCGCCCCACGTGGTCGCAGGGGTAGTAATAAAACCCCCACCGGTCCAAAATCGCTGCAACCTTTATGAGCTCGTCTTCTGCGCGCGCCGGTGTATTAAAATCTTAAGTCCTTTCATTTTTCAGTCTCTTTCGGTAATGCTTTTAAACTTCAGTGAACGAGGGATGGGTCCCTCAAAATTTTGAATTATCGAGGCCATAAGTCGCCCATCAGCGCTCAAAGAACGTCTCGCCGGCGTTCCCATCGCGGTAGCGGAATTATGAACCTTCCTCAGGATTTCAACCGCAGCTTCTTTTTAATTTATAACGAGAGCCTTGAGTCAAGCGGATGTGAGACATAATCTGTCAGTCTAAGGAATAACATCGTAACTGCAACGCAAACCTAAGGGAAATTTGCCTTTTTTGCTNTTTAAAAAAAAGTTCAACTCAATCCGATTTTTCGCTCAAAAGTTATAGGCAGTTGAAGGTTTTGACTTTGACCCCCCGCCCCCCCTCTCTGGGGTGGCCTAAGTCAAAATGACCGCCATATTTGAACGTCTCGCATGCTACTGTATCACTCCTGAAAAGATGGATCATATCTGATAGGGGGCCAAATCTAATGGGGGATGGAACAACCTCTTTGCCTTTTTTGCTGTGGAAGGCAGTAATTAGGTATTCTGTATCCAGCAACGACTATGCGTCAATAACAAAGCAGACATAATCTCCATGCCGTGCGCCCGCCCGGAAGCGAGAATTCCTGAAAGGAACTAAAAATGCAACCCTCTAAGGAAGACCGGCTTTTATTTTTTTATCCTTTTAAAGTGTACCTGCCTATCCTCATCAATTTCACTATCTATAGCTTTCTCTCTCTGGTCCGTTGTTGTGCCTTGTTTTCGTCTTCTTCGTTTCATCCACTTATGTTTCCCTGTCTCTTTGTGTTCTCGAACTATGCGAAAATTCTGGGTAATGAGACCTCAAAGAGAACTTTTTTGCCAGGCCGATATTAATTCCGTGAGTAGTCTTTTCTCTCAGGATTGTTTTAGGGGACTTTTGTCGTGTCCGTCCCGGACGAATGAAGGACACTAAATTTCAACGTAGCCTAATTGCAACTTGCATATCTTGTTTTTACCAGGAGACTATTGGGTATTTCTAATTGAAAACTATACATTGATTTTTCTCCTAATTACCCGGATAAATCAGCAATTTTTCTTGGATAAAAACTGTCCTGATTTTCCGTGGAAAAAGTTGAATTTTTTTAGTCCATTTCGTAATTTGGAATGAAGTTACGTCTTTGTATTTGAAAAATAACGGGTATTTACCGCCAACAGGAAAATATCTCACTATTGACAATGTCAATTTCTGGTAAATCGAATTTTGTCGTATGGAGTCGAAAATCTGGATTTTGAAACTGTGACGAAGAATTTTCTCTCGTGTTTCAAAGAATAATTACTGAGAGATTTAGATTACTTTGTTCCATTTGAGGTTATGACGTCCTTCGGGTTTTCAACACTTGGCGAAGCGTGAATGATAGATAATCGACATTTCCTCATTTGAAGATATGTTAATGAATCGATTATTGAAATCTTCGTTGCAAACAACCTGTTTTTCGGTCCTTTTTTATAGGTTAAAACATGATTAAATGGCAGATCAATCGATAAATCACAAAACACGCCCCACCACTGGTCTTCAAGGATCTATAATGTTCTGATCCTCTAGAGGGATGATTTAGTAATTTTATTAGAACCGGTGTGGGGGTTTTTGAGCTGGAGGTCCAATTTTTCCTCTTCTCACAACTAGGATGATGAGGATAAAATTACTGTTTAACGCAAAAGCTAATTAAAATAAACAGAAATGGGTAAAATTCAAGCTCTTGGAAGTTTGCATGAAAATGAAGCCGTCACTTCACCCTCTCTCTCGCCCCCTCGTAAAATTCGTCTTTCACGGCACGCTGCTTTTGGAGAGTAAAATACGTGGAACAATTGTTTCCACCCCTTAATAACGAGAATTGGCTAATCGTCGTACTGAAGAACTACTTTAGCTCCCTCATATTTGCAACTTTTCCTTCGTTAATAATCAAGAGCGATTAATAATACGTGAAGTCAAAACGACTCTTTGAAAAGAATTCAGTGGGAACCTCCCCCAAGATTAGGACCTCTATTTTTAGCAGTGGCAGCGCGTGGTAGGTAGTAGTAGGTTGGTAAATTAGGGGGGCGTGGCTTAAAAGAAATGCCTTTATTGCGCCTCGTATGGTCAATTTTAGGTTCGAGTCCAGGACTTGGGGAGGGTTCATGAACCATTTCCAAGCCCCATACGTGTATCGCCAATAATTTTCAGGTTCAATCCGTAAAGTATGTATTTTATACTCGCGCTATAGATGTGTGTAATGGTGGTGTTTAGCGGAAAGAAGTCAACTGACATAGACCAGAAACGGGGAAAAATAGATTTCAAGTTCCGTCCCTTTAAACACTGAAAAAAAAACTCCGGCTCCAGAAGCCGTATTTACGGGCTATATAGCACCCCCGTGTGTTTCCGACGAGCACACCGGAAGTTCCGTTTTCAGGAGTCGGAATAACAGCCTCTAAATCCGTAGCAATAAAAGCTCCCGGCTCAGAGACCGGTCGTGGTATGGTTCCTGAAGGTGGAAATTACGGTCTGGTCACCCGCAACGCACGGTATTGCTATATATCCCGTAATTGCGGCTCCTGGAACTAGAATATTTAATTTTTTGTGAGGTAAAAAATAAACTCCAATTTCTCCTTTTGCGTTACCAAATATTTTTGCGGGCATTGAATTTCTGACAGAAGAAAATATGCCTCTGCAAGAGCTGAAATTTCTCTGCATCCCATTTGGTCTCGCTAATCCAAACGGCATTCATAAAGTCTCAGGAGTTATCTTTTCATTATGTTCTTTAATTTTCATTAAGTATCTCCATACAATTTCAGATTGATTATGATTTCAAAATGTAACCAGCTAATTTTCTCCCTCTCTCTCTTCCAGGTTCAGGAGATCCTACTAGTAAATATCCAGTCCTCGTTTTCATCCACGGAGAGTCTTATTCGTGGAATTCTGGCAACCCTTATGATGGAACCGTCCTCTCCAGTTACGGGAAGCTTGTTGTTGTTACTGTCAATTATCGACTAGGTGTTTTAGGTGAGTCATCAGCTCTTTTTTTATTCGATGTTTGCGAGTTATTGCGCTCTGAGAAAAATATGGTTGTTGATGTAGCCGGAAAAATGCCTTTGATAGTTCTCAAGGGTCTCTAAAAACAGAGATTTCAATGAAATAATTCAAACATTACAAATAATGGTTATTATAGTTTCGCGTTATTCAATATTCCTCCCATCAGCTATCATCGCAACAAATGTTTAGATACACAGCCGATTTCCCTCAGGAAGAAGACATATATGCGGAATTTTCTTCGCCTAGAGAAGAAACAAGCAGTAACTCCAGCGCACTGCCGCTAGAGAGCGGCTCTGGGCTGCTCATATCCAAGACATATATAAACTACTAGCCGTGTTTAGCTCGCTGTGCGAGCTGTCACGCCTAGCCGGGGAGTGCCCCTGGACCCCCAGTTCCTCGCTTCGCGATGAACTTGCGACTCGTTCCGCGAGCCGCCCCTCATACCTATTAACTTTTAAAAGAACGAATTTACTTTCTTTTAACGAAGTATGGTGAATAGTGGCGAATATGTTATCTTTGTCCTCATCCACAATCAGCAGACTTAGCATTTTAAGCCACGGCTGCCATCTTGGATTTTGAAATTTTGAAAATCTGACCGAAAATTCGAGTTTCCCGTTGAAAAATACCTTCGGATACCGAGTTTCATGAAAATCGACTGAGCAGGAGCCGAATTAGCATTTTAGGCCATGGCCGCCATCTTGGATTTTGAAAATCTGACCAAAAATTTGAGTTTCCCGTTGAAAAATACCTTCGGATACCGAGTTTCACGAAAATCGAGTGAACAGGACCCGACTTAGCATTTTAGGCATTAATACACAACAACGCCGCTAGGGACGAATCCGTCCATGAAGTAGTACGACTAGGAAGCTTCAACCACGGCATTCTTCCAAAAAAGCGCGAAAACTTGTCGCTTTGAAAATTCAGATTTTAAACGTTAATTACATTTTTTTCAATACTAGATTAAAGCACAGACCAGTTTCGAATTATCGACAGTATCACCGTGATTCCAAAAATACACTACACAACATATCATTCGCTCACAAGAAAAAACAATGAATTAAAATAAAATCATGGCAAGGTCCACAGCCGAAAATGGCGACGATTCCCATCTACCAACGCGCGCTCTGACCAATGGTAGATGTACCATTGGTAACATCCACTGCAGAGACCGACCGAAATAGCAGCTCCAGGTGCTAGCACCAGAGCCGCTAAAATCACGGCAGACTTAAAGAATTTGCCATTGAGTAGTTTCCCGTTTAAAAATAAAGTATATGACAGGAAGTCTGCAACGTCGCAAACCGCGTTATGTGATTTCCGACTTACACCGTCGATATACTCGCCAGTCGTATGATTCTGATCGTTTGCGAAACTCGGGAACTGACAGCATCAGCTAGGTTGGGTTAAGTTAGGTCACGCAACTAAACTAACTTCGCGGATATGCTGGAAGTATCTTTCGAATTGAAGGCGCCTCAATCCCGAATCGCACGCTCTATTTCTACAGCTCCGATCAATGGAACTTTCTAGGCTCTTTATCCTTTCGGTACATAAAGGCAGTCACGTTGCAAAAAAAGTTTACGACTTTTTTAACGTTGCCAAATTTCACTTAATATAATATCCGCAATTAATCGTGGATCCTGATAAAATCCGCGATTTTGAATTACGGGATGTGACGTAAAATGCCATCTTGGCTCCTGTTTGATCGATTTTTTTAGAATTCTGTATGAATGGGTATTGCCAAACGGGAAACTCGAATTTTTTGTCAAATTTTCAAAATTCTATGAACCGAGATGGTGGACGTGGCCTAAAATGCTATAATGACTCTTTCAAAGACATCTAATCTTTCAATCAAGATATGCACTTATTTTCTGTTCATTTTCAAAAACTATATTTACCCCCATCTAATATAACCGATAGCATGGGCGCGCAATTCAACCCTAATGTGTTGAAACTACGTGCTCCTAAATATATAAATGTTAAGATTACCGATAAGAGTCAGAGGTATTCCTAGTTCCTTTGTCGGCGATGAAAACCTTATGAGCTTTAATCTCTTCGAGATGGTTTCAGAGGTGGATTCAGCGATTTGACAACACTGGATTCCCTCCATTTAAACCTATGTTGACTAATCGATTTTTGTCGGAGCACAGCCCTCCAAGAATCGATATATTTCCATAGTTTTAAATGGAAAAAACTATGTTGCCAATTTAATGTGTCCTCAAATAGATGGTTTACAACGTGACCATTGGTAATCGAGGTACTGTTCAAGTAACCACGTCTACAGTCATCGAATTAGCTCGCTTATAACTATCGAAGCGCACTTTCAATCTCGCTCTTAAAATTTGTGTCGGGAATTATTTCAACTAGGCGGAAAGCGCGGCTTACAATGAGCAACACTCAAAGTTAAGGTGTTAGGGTGCAAATCTGATTAAGTATCTTCTTCTTCCTCAGCGCTCTTTCGCAAAGACAGGATCCTACGCGATCCATCCGCAGTAAGTCGAACCGCGTGGACTTGTAAGGCGCCGCACATTGGAACGATTCTTTGGAAGAAGTCGGACAAAATTTGTTTGACAAAATCGGTACAATTTTACGTTTATCGCATCACAATTTTAATTTTTAGGGGTGCTTTTTACAGACAAGTTTACGATAAAACTAATGAAACTACTTTTAAACTATCATCATTTTATATTAATGAAGAAATACGCTTTTAAAATTTTAAATGATATCCGACCTATCCTATTGACTCGATCCTTTGCGCGACGGAGAGAAAGAAAGCCATTTCCGATAGAAATGTTTTCCTCCATCGACAGGGCGGGACCTCGCCGTAAAACTAATTGACTGACTCGGTAATTGAATACCATTAACTTCCGTTTTCCGGGGAAGTTTTAAAAGGTTGATGAAATCTACTTAACGGACCTTTTAAAAAAGGAGTTTCGTAAACAAGGATCTCCGGCGCGGGTCGACCCGGAGATGAGTGGCGAAAAATTTAAAAGTATAAAAACTCGACCTTTAATGTAGATCGCCGAACGCTTTTTCGTGCTCAACCATCCAGGCTTTTGCCGTGGATTCACCACTTACAGCTCCGGAATAATGGAACCAAAGACAAGGATTCTCCAAGAAGAGAGGAAGATCAGGTCAAGTGTTTCAAATTCGAAAGTTCCTCAGATAAAGATCACATCTTGTTCAGGTATGTAGGATGAGTTCCCCTGACAAACCCGTAAATGAAGAGGAGGGGGGGGGAGGAAATAAATACAAAACAGGGACTCATAGATATTTCTAGATTCACAATTGGACCGCGTTAAGCAGAACTTGGCTCCAAAAATACCTAATTAATCTCCACGTAATCTACTCAATGATTATTATTAAATAAAAAACACAGGGTGTTACTGCCTTGCTAAGCGAGAATGCCATAAATCCATCAAGATTTTCCCGCGTCTTTTGGAAGTTACTACTTTGTAAAATAAAAATTGTTTTACCCATGTACTTCAAATTTTCAAGTTAAGTTCTTGATAGTATTTACAAAAGAATTCAGTAAAAAGATTGTCTCGAAGTACACAATTTTTTCTGCTATGATACATTGTTTCCAAAAAAAAAAATAAAATAAAATGACGTTTACGGCGTTTTTGCGTTGCTCGGTAATTTAGTGATCCATTGAATTGATTTCTGTATCAGGGCGTAAGTTTATTGCTATATTTAATTATAATGACGTGTATTGAAAATAAATTTATGTTTGTTTTTTTCAAAAACATTTTCTAATGAACGGGGATTCTAAAAGGATGAAAAAAACCTTAAGTAAGTAATGAGTATGCAGATTTCGGACAAATACAGTTGGATCAAAACGGAGGAAGAAAGGCAAAGTCGGTTACGTTTTAATTAAGGGGCATGAAGAGTCTGGCCATTATCATATAGGGCTCACTGAAGTGAGTCGTGAGTCTCAGTTAATTTCAAAAGTATGTAGATTGCAGTGGGCAACGGGCGACGGACTTAATCTGTGTACCTTAAACGTGGAGCGTGAAAGAGGAAGAGACTTGTTGCCAGACCTGATTAAAATATCACATTCATTCGTGTCAAACTCAAAGGCACAGACCATTACTGCCGTGTTAAGGAAGAACGCCGTATGAACATCCGAGGGCTGCCAAATTTCCCCAGATTAGTCACGTATTTTCTAGGAGAGTTACTCGTAATTTTCTATGAAATTTTCAGGTATTTTAGATCAAATTGCGAACAAAATCGTCTGAAAAATTAGAGGCAAAATATTCAAAAAGTACACAGTAAATTCGGTTTTTATTGAGCCTAATTTGACAACGCATGAAGGCTCATACGGCGTTTTTCCTAAGCACGACAGATTAGAGACCAGTCCTAATCTGTTCGAAAGAGAATCATCGGATTAAGCCGAGGATTTTTGGAAAATCATTATTTTGATAGCAGACAGTTGAAACATGTTTATGTCGCAGGCAATTAGTTAAACCAGGTATTTTATCAAATGGCTAGGCAGGTAGTCATATTTTGGCTGTTTATGAAATTCTATAAATTTATGGCGAAGAACCCGTTCTCAAGATTTTAGGAAAAGTAACTTATTAAATCTACGAGCTCACCTTGTTTCATCCTCTCCCAACGCTTTTCATACATTTAAGTGTTAACATTTCAAAAATTCTGTATTTTTTGACATGCCGTAAATTTCAACATATTTAGCCGTTCAGGAGCTGAAAATCGTTTAAAATGCTATTGCTAGATTCATATTTTTACAGAGAATTCTTTTTAAAGGGAACAATGAATTATTATATAGGGAAAAGAATCCGAATTTCAATAGAGATAAGAATATTCAACTGTTTGCCTAGACATTTGATAAAATGTCTGATTTTACTTTTTGCCTACGACTTTATAATTTAAACATCGTGTTTTTCTCCAGAGTGAAATTTAATATTATTGATAATTTCAATCTTTGAATGCCGACGTCAAGATTAGTTTTCAATTAT